CAGTGGCATCCCATACATGTTCCTGTGATGCATGCATGATACAAATCCCGAAAGCCAGCGGAAAAACCGTAAACGTGTGTAAGACAGAAATGTTTGTACTCGCAGATGTCTTTCAGTTTGTAGTTTGCTTGAGATGGCAAAAAGTACAGGGGCAACTCTGCATAAGAAGGGCGAACTGAAGGGCCTTGTAGTTGCGTGGTGACGCTTGGATGAGGAAAGGCGAACTTATGCTACGGCATTTGGAGAAGATTGTGGGGCAGGAGAATGTATCTTCTTTCGGGAAGTCAAAACTTGCCCTTGTGTGGCAGCCATGTATTCATGTTTTCTGCGACGCAGCGTGCTGCGTACTTGAGCCAAACTATGCCAAGCTAAAACCGCAGGAGCGTTTTGAAGCTTATCTCAGAGCTCATGTGAAGCGCTTCTCTGGAGGGTGCTTGGATGAGAACGACTTCAAGAACTTCTTCTTGGAGCACTTTTCCAGTGAGCCACCTGCTTTGCACGAAAGGTGTGTGTGTGTCACCCCTGTACCCTGTTCAGTTCTGATGTCCAAATCGTTACAGAGGAGGGGGGCATGGGTCCATAGAGCTGTGCCCAACGAAGCGGATATGCGGCCTGATCAGCTGCACGAACCTGCCAGAGTTGATGCTCTTAAGCAACACTGTTTATATAGGACTTTTCATTCTGCAGTTTGCACAGGACCATTTCCAGGTATGTTTTGACAGGTCGTCTAATGCAGTTTCGTAAAGTGCTAATGCACATCGTCAACTGAACTTGTGCTCACCGGAGCTCTATTCTAAAACGTGTGTGCGCGTGATCTCCCCTTGTAGCCCCACTTGAAGCCATGCTCGGTCGCGGCATAGGTATCAAAAAAATAAAAATAAAAAGAGCATCAAAAAAAATAAAAACAGGATCAAAAAAAATAAAAAGCGAGTCAAAAAATAAATATTCCTTGATAGGCCTTTTCTGCTGCTCTCCTGGCCTTCTGCGTGTCCTCTGGTAATGTGGTCCCTTGGTCCACTGGTCCTTTGGTCCCCTGGTCCCTTGGTCCTTGAGTCCACTGGTCCCCTAGTCCTCCGGTCTCCTGGTCCTGTGGTCCGCTGGTCCCCTGGTATCCTAGTCCTTCTGTCTCCGAGCGCTCTGACAACGCCACGTAGGGCCTAACTTCGTGTGAACGCCGTGACTACTGCTACTGCTACCACTACTACTACCACTCCTCCTCCTGCTGCTGCTGCTGCTGCTGACTGCTACTGCTACTGCTACTACTACTACCCCAACCATCCTCAGTGGGCTAGAATATTTTTTTTGATTACCTTTTTATTTTTTTGATCCCCGTTGAATATTTTTTTGATTCTATTTTTATTTTTATTTTGATCCCTTACCCCTCGGTCGCTGTACTCACAAACCTGCAAGCAAGTCACATCAAGTCACATCAACTTGTTTGTGGAAGAGGACTGCGACCTCAGAGTCAGCAAGGTCTGACCTTTGAGGAATCTTCGAGGAATCGAGGTTTCAAGCTTTGAAATGTCGAGTTCTTTCAAGTTTTGATCACAGATGGACGCACATTTCTCTCTACTTTGTATGTTCTTTCATGGCACCCTTGGTTTGAGCCCCAAGACCGCGCCATTGAGAGAAATACTGGAGCTGCACATGATGGCTAGGTCGATGTATCATCATGTATCAATGTAAACTATGTGGGACGAGAACTAGGACGAGACTTATTCGTTGTAAGCCATGACTTGCTCTTTGCACAAGGCCAGCCGTCAAAGAGGTCGATTGGCAGAAGTGGTTCTACGGATGCCACCATTTGCTCTCAGCACCGTTTCCTTTTTGCTGAAGGAATTGTTCTCATTTATACCGGGTTCATCCATCCTCTCAGGATCTGCTCGGAGTCAGCACGATCCCAGCTCAGGACGTGGAATGCCAGAGATGCCTGCTCTCCACTCCACGCTGGCTGAGAAGGCAGGGCAGTACCCAGGGAGTCAACATGCAAACCTAAGGGCGTTGTTATGGGTGCAACCTGGCAAACATACTGTTGCAAGAGTTGCGTCGTCAAACCCGGTTGAACCAGAATCGGGGTGAACTGAATGATTGCAAGATCATAAGCTTGCCACGAGACCGTTGCTACTGTGGGGACGGCCCGTTTTTTGAGCAAAAACATATGTACCTTTGTTGTCGAAATATATATATATATACAATATATACAAGCTTTTTGAGGGGAAGAGTTGAGGCCAAGTGCCAAGCCAGTGGGGAACCGGATGCCATTTCCGTCACTTCTACAGCGGATTTGCCAATTTTCCGTCGAGTAGTGTTGAGTGGGCAGCCTGTGCATGCCTGTGGTTAGTATTTGTTCACTATTCATGGCCCACCTTGGGTGGATCTTGGTCAAGCTGAGTGGCCGTTTCTACCGCCACTCCCAGGTTGAGCTGTTGTTCTCCTCGCTGAAGGGTGGATATGATGGGGCGGCAGAGGACATCAAAGACTGGTTTCCCAAGCAAACTGAGCTCCTCGGACCTTATGACTTTGCCTGACGACCCGATGGTGTTGCAAATGACTTCTCAGCGGGGTTGGACAAGTTGAACGTTTTTGGGACAGAATAGTGCCTTTCATCGTGCTGGAAGTTTAAGTGTCAGAGTTTCCATGATGCCTGATTAGTCCCTTGAGGCTTCGATTCATATTCAGTTGCCTCGTTTCTGCATCGCTAAGGTTGCTCCTGGACCGCTTGGTGGACTATGCCCGTGAGCAGGCAGCCGCTGGCAAAGCGGTAGAGGTGGGAGGGCAAGGACTAAAAGAAGAGCAACAAAAGAGTGGGCGTCAGAAGCGGATGAAATAAATGAGGGAACATATTATATATAATTAACGTCAACGGTGAGAACAAAAATCATGAGTATTCTTTCTTTATTATAGACGTTGTGCATCCAATGTTCGAACTCTCCCAGACTCGGAAGCCTTTCCGGTGTGATGCACATTTGGTCTTGCACTGGCGGCTGCGCGCGTTCGCTTGTGCCTCCGTTAGCTCCACATATGGCAGGTTCAAGGGCGGCTGAATGCGTGGAATGAAGCTTTCGGCTTCGATCTTTGCCTCAAATTGTGCGACCGGTCTGACGGCCAACCCTCTCAAAGGTACAGACCTTGCATCCAGCGCATGAGAGCTGCCAATGTGCACACAGGCCGACAAGAGGGTGGACCAAACCACCGACCGTTCATTCCTCCCCAAGGATTTGATGCCACAGGGGCTTGGGGATGGCTGAGTGGGTTGAGTTTTTGTTGGGGGGCATTGAGTTGTGAATTCCAGGCATATATTTGTCAGATTATGTAATGTGATAGTGATTGACTTGACTATGAAGGTCTTACCCCAAATAGCGCTAAGAGTTCCAGCATGTTATAGCTACAAAAGACCCGAACCCCCAACCAATCCACATTGCATTCTCGGGCGTATAATGCACCCAGCGTTTGTGCCTCAGCCCGTTGAGACTCAGAGTCGGACGTGTGGCGTTTGAGGATAGCACGAAGAATGCCGAGATCCGCTTCCGCTGGCTGATGCTGGCCTTGGCCTGCAATGACCCTTCCCGTGTGGATGCAGCCATTGCCATGGCTCAGGAGGCTGGTGCCAGACGGACACATCAATGATGATATAAGATGATGTATGTCCATGGACGCCAATTTAGATACCAGTCGCCCGTCATTTTCTTGATTTCCAGTGGCTTACAATTGACAATTCAACATCAAAAGGCCTTCGCCAATTTTGGCGTGCTTGGGGCTGGGGTTCCGAGTTGAGTTTCGGCAGAGTGTTGGAGATTCCTTGCATATCCTTTCTTTCTTTCTTTCTTTTGTTCTTTTGAGAGCTAGTGCCGGAAAGATCCTTGCACCAAGACGCTAGTTACTGGTCCAATAACGTCCAACAATTACTGTAACGCATCTCCCCATGGCGCATTCCTTTGGATCTTTGGTCCCATAGGTGCGGCTCTCGCAGGTGGGACGCATGAAATTCACCCGCCCACTCTACCGAGAACTGCGCCACGATTGCACATTTGGTGGGATGGTGTGCCGTGCCGAGCTGTCAGCAACAGACAACATACTGTGCATGTTTTAGAGTTCAACCAAAAGCCTACTTTCTGGGTGCAATCCACTTCCGGAGAACTCCCTGAGCAAGTGTCAGCCGCGCGGAGGGATGTGAATCCGGGTGAGATGACCCTTGCTAAGGCATAGCAGACACGTGCCACAATGCGTCCGCCCGCCCTTGTTTTGTTACGGCCCAGGATCAAGGAGCCAAGCCGTTTGCCAAAGGCTAAGACAGCCTTTGAGGCAGCCAAGGGCTCCTACCACCCGCATTTTGGTCGAAAGGATTCGGGACGGGTCGTGTCTCTTCTCCCCTCGGTGGTTTGGCAGACTCCCAGAGGCTGAACTGAAGATGGCCCCGTGTGGCCCGTGCAAGGTGCAGAGGTTGTTTTGAGTCGTGTGTTCTGCCCTTTGATTATTGGGGATGAACAGCATCAGAGATGTGCTTTGGCTACTTCCACTGCCGCCCCTTCGGTTGGTTTGAACGCAACGGCGCAAAGAGTCGGTGCCGCCTTGCAGAGCTCCAGAGCTGTAGAACGTATCCAAGGATCACTGCCAAAATGGTAGCACAAGACTTTGCGAAAGCTGAAGCCAAATGAGGAGTGCAGTGTTGTGGACCTGGTGCAGTCTCAACAGCCTCCCGAAAGAAGGTGCGCCAGGAAACTTTGGACCAGCCTGGCAGCTCTTTCCGCCACTGGAGCACGCTATGGCATATCTTGTGGCGATGTTTAGGTAGCTAGGGTAGCTACTAGGCTGAAGCGACAGGCTCGTGGTGTCGAAGAAAAACATGCGCCGCGTCACAGCTGGTCCTCCTCTTTTGACCTACTCAGATAGACAACGCGATGCTCTTGTTTTGCCCAAATCCGGAACTATTTGACAAATTGCCTCGCTGGATGATGCTTTGATCCTTTACTATCCTTTACTGTACTCATTGATGTGGGCAGGTGCTCCATATCTTTGGGAAGACCGTGGTGGCCCTAAGTTTGCTTGCTGGAAGCGACCAAGCCGTCTTAAAGCAGTGATCACGCCACGAAATGAATCGAAAAGAGATTGCATATCCCGTTTGTTGAGCCACTTGGAGACAGATCGTTTTCATCTCACCATCCAATGAGCTTGGATGACACAGCTTTAAGGTCCGGTGGCTGGTGAGGAGGTGAGACAGATGTTATCTCAGGTGGGTCCATCAGAGTGTCAAAAATTGACCGGTCAGGGCTGTTTGGCCTCTCATGGCTCAATTGAGAGGAACCTGTTTGAGACAAACCTGGCTACGACCGACACACCCAATAAGAAGACGTGAATTCAACAAGGTCCAGGCTTTGATCCACCGATGTCCCTGGCAAAAGCATGGCAAGGCACGCTTGGAAGCTCAAGCAGCTTCTTGGCAAGGCACCCGAAAACGTTAGTTGTAAACTGGCATATTATTGTGTAAGGCATGCACAAGGACGAAACAACCGAGAAACGCTTCAAACAAGTGGCTTGTTTGCCACCATGGTGCGCTACTTTGGCAGAGTCCTCCTGCGGTAGGCTGTCGAGTCAAGTGATTGATTTGTTATGATTTGTTCCGGCTGACTCCTCGGAAAGAGTGCCGACAGCTCAAAGCATGCTCGTTGCCGTAACAGGTCAAAGGCGTTTCACCTTCAAGCAGCAAAAGTTGCAGCCCACCAGTCGTCCAGCTTGTCCCCACATATTTGTGGCTGCCAGCCGGCGAGCCAAATGCTCCCAATGTGGTGCATGTCAAAAGCCCCTCAGAGCATTGCAAAACCCTGATGACACAATCAGTGAAGGGTCTAAGAGACGTAGCGGAAACTATCTCAGCTCACGGCGTGAGTTCGTCCTAGATGGCGGCTTGAAGGTGCGGCAAGTGTATAGGCACACAGGATTGGTAGTTTAGGAGCTTGTGAGCTACTATTTTCCTTGGTGTGGTACCGGCGATTTGAATTTGGAGCTCACGTTTGACCCTCTTCCCATCATGGACAGGGCCTCCTTGATGCCGACGATCCATGATCTTTGTGACTATTTGGCAACGTTCGGCCCTAAGCTTGTGAGCATTCGCAGGCAACGAGAAATTCGCCACAGCAAATCTGAACGTTTGGCCTCAAGAAACCCAAAGCGGTGATAGCATGTGATGGGGTTGCCGCACCTGTGTCGGAGTAGATTGAGCTGCAGTTTGGCTGTCAAGACACATTCCAAGCTTTGCAGACCAGATGCGCGTCAACCATGTCCATCTGTGCTACTTGTCCTAGTTGTGAATCATCTGATCCAATATTGCCTAAATATAGTTCGCAAGCATGTATAGAATTCTATAGAGATATGTGATGATATGATATGTGCACATGCACTGGAGCCCTTCCTGAGGCGCAGCTTGCCTCAATGGATGGTGGCGCAACTTCGGACTATGGGAGATGTGCAGGAGCCCGGATTAAACATACAGTAATTGAAACGATCCGGACCCTCGACCCTGGGTGCTTGCGCCCCAAATTTATCCTTTTTGACATCTGGCCATGCCAGGAATCCTCCAAGTTGGGCACGGATGGCAAGATTGAATGGCTGTCCTCAGTCACCAGTGAGGGCTTGACTCGGATTGGCATTGTGCACCCGCTCCACCAGCGGCGCATACTTCGAGAGATCCAGTGCTACATGCTGATGCCCGTCTCTGCGGCGGAGGACGCCCTTCCTGAGCCACCGGTTGCTCCACCTGAGAAGGTGGTCCGGCCACGCAGACCTCTGGTCTACGAGAGGGACACGCGATGGCCCTTCCTGGACATCGCGTGTTTAAAATTGATGGACGTGCCGAGGCCGACGATCTCCGCATATGGACATTCTGAAAGACGCACTCGCTTGGCTGAAGAAGTGCGGATCGACGATGATCTTTTGAAGCCCTCCAAGGACTCCTCGCGGGTGTCGCTTGCCAAGACTCTAGAGAAGTCTCAGGAAGTCTTTTGGCGGGAATCGACTGAAGAGGAGGAGGAGTCTGAAGAGATTGACTGGGAGGAGTGGCTGGATAGTCGGCTTCACTCCTGGGGCATGTTGTCTTTGGTTGATGAGGCCGTTTGAGAGCTAGAGCAGTCCTTCAAGACTTTGCATAGATTCATCCAAGACCTTTGCTAGTCCATTGGTGATGTTTGGCAGACCTTTGCTGCATGTTTTGATGTTCCGTCGCCCTGCCTGCGGAAATCGGTCGGTCTGCTGCATGTTGGAGGCTTTGAAAGCTGCCACTCTCGGGGATTTGCACCTGGTGCACGACCTGGTGGACAGAGTGCGCTCCCATGGCCCAGCCTTGATCGAATCGCTGGAGAAGACTCCGCCACTGCGCATTAGTCTTCAGCACACCTTTAGCTGATGGTAAGGTAGGGGAGGTGGCTTTAAGAAGAACATTTGAGACTCCCCTGTAGAAGTGAAACAATCAACAAGAACAACTTCTTTGCACGGGCATTCCACTGGTCATGAGATGTTGTTCTTTTTTATAAATTAAAGTTTCACTCTAAGGCTACCCGAGCACTTAGAGATGGTGTTCCCAGATATGCCAGAAGATGAATGCCCACCAAACACAATTTGGTCGTGGATTATGTGGCGCTTGGAGTGGCTGAAGCGGGCCGACCGCCGAGTGGAGCGACTGGTGGAAAAGGCCACCGGCTTGGCACCCTGGTTCATCATGGTCTCTTTTCTGCTTTGGTTTCGGCCCAGCTCCACCGCCCAGCTCCACCCCTTCTTTGATCGATTTTCATCGGCTTATCCCTTGTACTTGCCCGAAGGGAGGCTCTTCTGAGGGTCTTTGTATCTAAAGGATTCTCCAAGTTCATGGGAACAAGAGAAGTGCCCTGGGTGGAAACCACCTGACGGGAGCTCTGCATGCACACGAGAGACATGAGAGGTTCAGCATGGTTCAGTGAGCTTCGAGTTGCGCAAATCGACTGAGGTAGACAATGTCATGGGATATTCGGTTTCCCGTGACGTTTCTGTGCGTCCAAGCCACGAAAAGAGGAAGGCCACGATCAACATGAAGAAACTGCTCCTAGGCGGGGGTTAATGTAACAGACCGTTTTACGGGCAATTGTAGTTGTTCTAGTCTTACATCTTTTTCGCGACAATTGTTTTAGTGAGGCATGTGTGTCGATAACATATCCTTTTGTAGGATGTTTTAGAACATTTAGGTTTCGGACGTTTGGATTCCTTGGTTTCTCTTTGCTTTTTGCTTTCCGCGTGTTTTCTTCAAGGGAAAAATGCAAGGAAGCAGTACAGAAGGAAGCAAGGAAGCCTGCAAAGCAAGCAAGGCAGGCAGGCAGAAAGGCAGGCAGGAAGGAAGGACGGAAGGAAGGAAAGAGGGAAGAGAAGGGAGCAAAGTAGCATGCAAGAAAGCAAAGATGCAAGAAAGGGGCAGAAGCTTCTAAGCTGGCAGAAACTCCACTCCATCACTACTCCGGTTTGCATGCTTTTCGCGGGAGGCGTGTGCCCTTCCCCTTGCCCCCTTCCACAAATTTACACATTGCGTCCCCGGTTAGGGTCTCCCGCGCCAGAACCTTTACAAACGCCACACACCCACCCAGCAGCAAATAAGAAAAGCACATCAAAATCATAAAGCAAATCCGAACCCTACTGATCAGGGTATCTAACACAATGTTTTGGCCGAGGCAGATGATGGCAGATGTATATGAACAACCGCTTAAACCAGCAATGACCAGCTTAGTTGTGAAATGTTAAAGTATCAGACAGTGGTCTGAAGCCTGGAAAAGGCCCTCCTCAAAGCCACGACTGTCAATGCAGTTTTTGAATGTTTTTGAAGTATTATCGCTGGGGCGATAGGTCCCACTCAAAAGGCATAGGATAAATATAGTAATCTTGTCGAATCATGCCCTGTTCATTTCCAAGCAGCTTTGGCAAGACACTCATATAAGCAAATATGATGCAGTAGCTCAACAATTTTGCAAATAATGCATCTGAAAAACTGCCGACAACAGGCCTGACCCAGCTTAACACACTCTGTTGTGCCTTGGCAGTGCCTCCAGGAGCCAGCGCAGCCTCCTCCTCCTCCGAAGGACCCTCCAGGAGTGCCAGTTCCGCAGTGTTCTTTGAGACGGCCCATGCAGCTCTCAAGCAAAAGCAGGAAAAGCCGAAGGCAGGCCCTGCGGGCAGGTGTTGGTCAATCACACAATCTGAAGGTGGGAAACAAAACAAGGGCGTACTTTGATGGAATTCCTACTTTGAGCATGTGTATGGTCGTCTATGGCAACATGTTGAGCTGCTAAGTTGTATGCATACCGTGGCGATCAGTCAAATTCTGACTTCCCACCCATGAAATGCACACTGAGGGCGTGGAGGCGTTCCGAAGGGCGGCTCAGCAGATTCTGTCGCATATCAAAGCGAAGCGGCAAGATGGCTTGGTGGCCAGTACCAAACTGTTGACCTGCGTAGCCATGCAGTCGAAGGTGGTGAATTTACGGCAGGACCTGCAGAACATCATGGACGAGGTGGACAAATGGCCACAGCTCATCAGCGACAATCGCGAGTCCTGCCACTGGTCGGAAGATGCCGGAAGAAGTGTATATCTAATATAGAGAGAGGGAGAGAGAGATACTCTTTTTCATTTAAATATATTGGTTGGACCGTGCGGTGAATCAGTGAAACACTGTTTGTTGAACAGTTTGTTGCTATCTGGTACATCCTTATCTTCCTTCAGGAAGGCATGCCAGCGTGGGTTGCTTTTCGGGTGTGGGGCCCCACGAGTACTGTCTGGGGGCTATCGGATCCACTTGCTTTATCGGGTGCCTCCATTGATCCTCAAAGAGATGTTTAAATCGAACCGTGTAGGGACAGTGTAGGCTCCAGAATTTGCTTAGACATCTCATCTCGCACTGGACCTTTTTGTTGGGCATTCGCTCATCACAGAAGGTCTCGAAGCATCCTCATTGCCGAACTCCCCGGATATGTATCTGTGGGCAGCTCACCATTTTACCGTGCATGTCCCCTGCACGCTTGGGCCACTCATGGGCCACCTGTACCGAGCGATCTCATCCAACCGATTGCGACGTGTTATTCACATCGCTCCAACTATGTTTTGGATGAGATCTCTAAGTGTCCCTGCTCGCGAAGGGACCATTGGCCAAGCTCCATGACCTTCCTAAGAAACACGGGTGACATCTTCTTAGTAAGGGGGTCCGAAATCATGTTTCCTCCCCCAATCCACCTAACCTGCCCTGCCGACTTTTCCAAGTCGCTCTTGAGGATCGTCAAGTCGATCCCTGTCCTCTTGTCGTCGATATGTGCTGACGTGTTGCGACACTTGGTCATCGTGTCGTAGAGCGACTTGGAATCGGTAGCCGCCACGAAAGGGAATGCAGCGAGTTGCTTCTCCCACTGGTCAATCTCCAGATTGACCCCAAACAACTCCGCAAAGAGGAAGCGGTGCCAATGGAGGCTTCCGATGCCCTGAAGCATCGATTGGCATTCTGCCGACAAGGTGTTCACGGTGCACCTTTTGAGCTTGTAGCTCTTCCACCCAACGATGGAGATGTCCTGCTTGTGGTCGGAGGTCTCCAGGTCCTGGTTGTAGTAGAACAACAGGTAGCCGCCCTGGCTGTGTTTCTTGGCCATCTGGAGGAACTTTTCGGAGAGCGGTTGGTTGGTTTCCTTCTTTTCCTGTGTCTTGAAGAACGTGGTGGTTCCGGTCCATGTGTCACCTAGGTTCTTGAAACTGTCGTTGGTGTCCCATCTATCATGGGTCACTTGTGTTCCAACTTGGGTTCTCCTATCTCGGGTGATCTGGTGAAGGTCGGGGCCATCTTTGTC